GAAAGGGAAAAAAAGGAAAAAGAAAGAAAGGAAAGAAAAGACATATAAAATTAGGTTTGTGTCACTCATTTAACACTGCAATTTCCCTAGAGGATTATGCACCAAACAGAGATAGCAAGCTCATGAATATTAATCACTTCCCTGAATGCAATGCAGCCCGCCGAACAATAAGATTAGGGGAAAGTGCTATGCTTAATTTATGGATAATGGGAGAGGTAAAGGATAGAGCTCCCACAAAGGTAAGGCTCACAGCTGGAAGGAGAGGCCTCTGAGGAGGAGAAGGACAGATCCAGATTTGTAAGGCAGCAAAAAACCACTTGAGGCCAAGCAGGAGCGAGAGAAAAGGTGTTTAAGGAACATTGTCAAATTAAAATCATACTTTTCCCTGACCCGGAGTCTAATGCTTCAAGATGCCAGGAACTGGGGGTAAACTCAAGAGCTAGGTGTATTTATTTTCTCTTTTCCTCTACCCTGTGCCTTTTCTTTGTGTTTTACATCCCTGAGGCCCTGATCCAACAAAGCAGGGAGATGTGTGTCTAACCTGAAACACTCACATTCTGCAGCGGGACCACTCACATGTGGAAGTAAGCGGAAGCGCTGCCCTGTTTTGCTGTAAAAAGGCTTTAGGAAGAGTCCCTTATAAGCAAAGGAGATAAAGCGTAGCAATAACAACACCAATAAGATGCAATTGAAAACCCCATAAATTACCTGGCAAACTTAAGGGTAGATAGAAGTTCTGCAGCGACTTCCCAGCTGTGGTTCAATGTGTCTATCAGCCTTTACTCATCTCTTTTCATATTACTTTCTCTCCCCCTCCCTTCTTTTTTATTGATCTCTGCATCTTTTTTATCATATCCTTCTCTTTCTTCAGCCCTGGTGAGCTAAATCAATGCATAATGCACATCACACTCAACAAAAGGAATGCAAATGAAAGCAGCGCTCTTTTTCAATGTCCGCACATATATCTAGATGCATGTGTACAACCTTGGTGTGTGGGAGAGTGCACACCAAGGACAAGGTGCTCAGCTGCTTGTTAGACACCCATTTCTCAATGGATCAAGTGCAAAAAAGCTCTGGGTTCCCACAACTGCAAATCGTAACTCTTACAAATGGGGCCTGTTTTACACAGGGCTTGAACTTGGCTGGGATCCGCAGTAATCGCAGAAATCAGTTATCCCGGGAGGAATCAAGAGCAAGGTGAAAGAAAAGCAGCCAAGAGGTAGGAGAGGGGTGCATCGGTCACAGCGGACACGACTGCAGCTCGCTTGGCTCCTACGTATCCAAAGGCCAAGTGAAACTTCTCCACTGGGACCTGATTCTGTGCGGGGAAGGAGATAAAATGTGCAAAACGCGCTAGGCGAAGGAGGGGAATAAGTAGAGATGATGGATTTCAGGATGGGGAAGGGTGAATGTGCCACAGAACTTAAAGGAGGAGTACTGCCAGATGCTGCCATTAATTAATGAATCAATCTCGCTGTCACTCTTCAGCATGTTGCAGGGAGAAAACGCTATTCATCTTATCTGTTTTCTGTTACTTGCCTTTGTGCTCAGAGAAGGCCAGGACAGCCTGACAGTAAGACCACACAGTTTTCTTCCCTGCCTCCCTCCCTCCTTCCCCCGCGCCCCTCCTCCCGTGGCAGAGCAGATTGATCCACTGTTATCTGATTAGAGAGGAAAGGAGGAAGGAAAACAACACTGAGAGGAAAAAAAACCCTCTAATTTTATTACAGGCACTAGCGCAAAGTGTCTTGAGAGCCTCGTGCCATTCAGACAAAGGGAAGTTGGGCAATTAAAAAACCCCATAAGCCTCATGATCCTAAAAGGCAAAGGGAGCAGGAGAGGCAAAGGGACACCTGCAAACAGGCTGCCTCCATCCTTGGAGATACCTTGAGCACAGCGGAACATGACCCTGAGCAACATGCTCCAAATTGAAGCTGGATCTAACTTTAAGATTGATCCTCCTTGGACCAGAGAACTCCAGGGACTCCTTCAAACCTTAATTATTCTGTGAGTCATGGCTCTAAAGCTAAAGCTTGATGGTGTTTGAGGGCTCTGTTGTATCTCTCTTCTACCAAATGAGGTGACTTGCTTGGTCTCTGCTTTGGAAGGAAGAAGCTCACTTGGGCTTGGCTATCAAACCTCCTGCTATGAATCTTTCCGTGGTGATGCCCCTTCAACCCTGCTTTTGCAAACAAAATGTTTAGTGATTATTCTCAGCCACGTGGGACCCAATCCTGCAGACAATCTGTGACAAGCACCGCATTCACCGCTGTGGTTCGAGTTGCCAAAGTCTAAAGAATGCCTTGTGGTAGTTCAGAAACATGCCTGGAAGGAAACGTTTGCAAGATCAAACCCTGAGGCCCCCAGTTCAGCAAAGCCTCTGAACATGTGTTTGAGGCTAACGGCATTCTTCGGTGAAGGGGAGTGATTCCCCGGGCTCTAAAGAGCTACATAATACAATAAGAACATCACTGCAAAAATAACACTGTCTGGAATAATTACTTCTTGTCCTACAGGATTATAACATGTGTTGGCCTTGTAAATATGGAAATGAATTACCCTTATTTTTCTGTGCTTCTCAAACAGGGATTCAAGCATCCCAAGAAAACCCCTCACCAGATTCAAAGAAGACTTTTTGTTTGGCTGAAGGCAGAAGATGCAGTCTTATACTATTCTATTGTGGAGAATGCTGAATGTTTGCACTTTCTGGTTAGTGTTTATCATGCACTATGCACAGCCATTCTCTTCCTCAACACCTTTATGTTTTCTGGTGAGATTTGAATGCTTGGCATGTTAAAACAGCATACAAGTCAGCGCTGTTCATTTGTCTGAAAGATGAGCCAGTCATTTATCTTTAGCTCTTGATATCCTAATTCATGGTGGTCCAGCACCCACAAATGCCAACAGGACCCGTTTCACAGTTATTACCTCCTCTGAACCTTTCTTAGGGACTTGATGAAGGCAGTGGTTGCCCCAAAACAGCAGCATCTGGTCTACCCTTATGCACACACACCATCACCGCCACAGCAGTCTCTCCACCACAGCTGTAAAGCCACCCAACAAAATCTCTGTAAGGTGTGTATCCACGCAGCTTTCCAGTGATTCAGGTACCCTGCTTCACCTGTGTCCTCATATTCTGTATATCACAAAGCAGGTTGATTTCATTCCCTTTTGTAATCCAGGACCTGTGCAAAACCACAACCTTCCAAAGGCCATGACAAACAAACAACATTTTACCTCTGGAATTCCCCTTTCCAACACAAGCAAATCTGAACATCACTTCCTCTGTAATGGCACAGAAATAGCTGTGTGTATGTTTTCATTGCTTCATGTTCTAACTGTATTGCTGTCAGACAGGTTTTTATCACATTCTGAACCAGCCCTGTTGCTGGTGCTGGAGATGAGCATGTACACAGGTACAGAGCAGGCTCCCGCACTCACCTAGCAGGACAATGCTGTGTGGTCCAAGGCTTGGGACACCCCACTCTTACTCCTGTCCATCGATCATTTGGAGCATGATGCAGCTCCTGCCCAGCCCACACAAGTAAGTTTCCTTAAGAACCAGTATACAAAGGGGAGGATCTGGGTCATGTCCTAACGTAACGCTGGGATGTGGTCAAAGTACAGACCCAGACCTGCTGTTGAGCAGGGTGATACAGATGCAACCGCACAGCTCCAACCCGACCCCTTGCTGGAACCTCGCACTCTGCCTGACTTTTGGAGAACCCAAAACATTTGCATAAGTGTTTATCTCACTTTCAAAATATTATGACTAATCTCTTTCAGTGCTTGAGGCTCTAATGCAGCAAGTGACTTGAAACACAAACCTAACTTCAAGACCACCAATAGTCACAATTAGCCTGCACCATAAATATGCTCAGATTTCAAAAGAGCTATTTACATATGTAAATATGTAAATAAGAACATCACCAAATTAGGCCTCAAGTCTCACAGTGTGGGATGCTGAAGTAAAACTGCAGCCATTATGACGAGACAAGCCGTCCCCAGCTTACCACCCAAGGGAAACATGGTGCCTGTGAGGTCCCCTCTACGTTGCTCCAGGCACAAGAGGTAATCATCAGATTGCCAAAAAGAGCAAATTTCAGTCTTGCCAACATTGTATTATCTGCTTAGGACTGATGCCCTGAGCTGAATGATCACTAGATGGGACCAAGTATTTGCTTGGTGAGACCAGGAAAGGAATCTCATAGAACTTCTTGAGAAGAAGATGACCATTTATAAACACTTGCTTTGGCTGCAGAAGTCTTGCACGTTTCATCCTTCCCCAGCCCTCACTGAGCCCTGGTTGGGAAATGGAATCCCACAACACAGGGACACCCCACAGAAGGTGCAGTGCAAATTGGTCTCCATTTCCCTTCTCTGCCTCCAGCATTCCTAGAGAGTTTAATGAATATGTAAAGCTCACAACTGCAGCCCTGCTATCCCCGATAGCTCCAGCATCTTCCGGCCATTGTCCTTACTGGTTTTGCTAATCAGAGCAAACCAGGCTTGCAAATGAAATCTGATTAAGTAGTTTTCACCTCTGAAAAAGGGGATTAGCTAGACCTTTGATCCTCAGATATTGATTTGCAACTCAAAGGAGGTGTGACCTCAGCCGGACTTGCTTCTGGTCTCAGTCCCTTCCCCTTTCACTCCTCCTCCTGTTTACCAGGAAAAAAATCAGTTCATGTCTTCTCACATAGCCAGATCTAAAGCCTATTGAAGGCAGTGGAAAACCACCCACTGACTTCAATGGGCTTTGGATCAGTCCCACAATGGCTGACTTAGCCCTAAGTCCTAGGCTGTTTCAAAGCCAGCAGAACCAATTTCCCATCAAAATGACCAGAAGCTGGGAAGATATGTTCGCCTTTCAAACCTACAAATTCCACCTTTTTTTCTTTCTTCCATGACAACTCTTCAGCTGGAAATGCTGAAAATGCTGTTGATATTTTTCCCCTTGCACTCTACGTAGAGTTGTTGCCCACCGTGAGCAGACTTACCAATGCAATTAAAGGACAACTCCTGCAGGCAGAACAGGGAGCAGCCATCACCGTTGATCTTGTTCATGTCATCACATTCTTCCCCCAAGTCTCTGTAGGCAGGGCACACACATACAAAAATGATTCAGGTGGCAAATGGCATCATCCCAACAATCACTGCAACCCCTCTGCAGAACCCCAAAGCCCTCCAATCTAGTACAGCACTTTGTGTGCTGACCCTTAAAATGCCTCTCCCTTCCTCCTCCAGCCCTGACTTCCATCATTCCTGGTTCACAGGCTTGCCTGGCCACTTCTCTCCTACACATGTGGATACCACTTGCTGTTCTCTGATGAGGATATGAGCAACTTCCTTCATAGCTGGTGTGGCTGCAACTCAGCAGGTGGGGAAAAAAAGAGAGCAGGAATCTCTGAAACTCTTTGTATTAAATCTGGAAGGGCCAGACTGTGACCCCAGCATGGGAATAACAAGGCATAAAGCCTGGTGCCAGGCTATTCCAGGTGGAGAGGAGGTGGTGTTGGGAATGGGATCCTGCTTCGCGCCAGCCCGCACAGTTGCAGCAGCATGCAGGGAGATGAGTGTGAACCAGATGAGAAAGGGGCTGCCACAGCTGTAAGTGGGGCCACAACCAACCAAGCTGTGACACAGTCTGGTTCCTGCTCACTCCTGAGGCAGCTCAGCTATTGTTCGACACTTGCTGCAAAGCCACAAGTGATGCTTGAGGAATGTGCAAACATAACAGTAGGAGAAAAGTTATGGAAAGCAAAATTAATCTGTCTTTCTCCACCTCTCTCTCCAAGACTGCCCTGGATTCATATGTCGTTTGGTTATTCCCTTTGATTTCCCTACCTGTTGGGCCTCATCCTGCAAATACTTGCTGCTAGGTATATCATCTGACAGAGTGGTACTACGTGATTGCTGATTGGCATTATTTAAAGCAATGGCTGGATTGAGCACTTGCTTGTTGTTACTTCCATAGTTTAAACAATTGAATTACCTAATGGCAGGAAGCTTTGAAGCAGGTGGCTTCAGGGCCAACACAGCAAAAGAAAAAACCCTAACATAGTTGTGAATGATTTTCTTTTACGTTTTCAGTGGTCTGGGGACTGGCAGCGGTGAGAGGGAGGAGCTGGTTGACAACATGCAATTCCCAGCACTCTCCCTCAGAGGCCAAATCTATCACCTCCAAATGCATCCTAGCTCCGGTGCTCAAACAAGAGGTTGCACCAGGAACCTGGACCAACACAAGGCAGGGTTTTACCCTGTCCACCAGCTGCCAGACACGTGGGACTCCACGGGTGAGGACAGCATCAAAGGCCATGTGAATTTTTCCAGCGCTTACTTCAGCTCTGCATAGGAAATGTCATATGCATGTATAAAGATAGAGATACACGAACAAACAGCATAAACAGCATATAGTGTTATGTCCATATCGATCCTGCTGTCTGGACTCCATTATCTGTATCTCTGTCTGTATCTCCTGGTGCCAGGATAGCAGGGCCTAAGTTCCAATTAAGTGTCATCATCCTGGTAATCACCAGGCACATGAGTCATTATGTACAGATGAGAGCTGGCCTCAACTGAGGAGACATCAGAGGTTGTCAATTCCTTTCTAGTCTCAGATTCTGGCTCAGTAGATGTGCCCGGATTTATCTGTTTGCTCGGTCCAGACTTACATTTGGATAATCCCGTCTCCACAGTATCCACTTCCAGAGATATAGACAAGCTCCGGGGAAGGCTCGCTCTCCTCCCTCCCGGAAACAATGATGACCTGGTACGTGTACGTGGTGCTATCGCTCAGCTCCCTGCAGGACAGAAGGAAACACTAAGTGATCGGGACAACAAAGGCGGTAGAAAAGGGCAGGGAGGGAGGTACTGAAATGGGGGGTGGCTGCCAAAAGAAGCAAGTTTTAGTTTCAGTCAGGTCCTCAGACTGTTCCTAGGGTTAATTTTGGGTTGGGTGTTGCTGCTTACATCTGTACCCACTATAGAGATGGTGCTGCACTGATAACATGGCAGTGCATCAATCCTCACCACACACAGTGGGAAACAGTAACAGCATTTGAGAAACCAGCCCTGAGCTTCAATGTGTTTAGCCTTGGATATTTCTGCTCCCACCTCTCCACGTCAGGGACAGCCTTACCTGCAAGTCTGCATAGTTTAGTTAAGGAACTTAAAATACCCCATGAACACTGATTACTTCCTGAACAGCCCTGAGCTCAATCCAGCTGCAGCTGGAGCCAGTGGGAAGTTGCCTATTGATTGAAGTCAGAATAGGACTGGGGATGTTTCAGTGATAAGTAAGATATCCACTTTGCATGCAGGTATTGAAACAATAGAGTTAAACAACTTTCTTCCCCTCTAGGAGAGTGCAAAAAATAGGATGCACACCACAGCACTGGATCCTGGGATTAACACTGAAATATTCACAGAAAGAATTAGCAAACTGCTACATATTTATGCAAAGCCATAATTACTTAAATCCTGTGCATCTGTAAATGAGGAATCATTTTTGTATGTGCAATACAGAAATAATATAAGCCTAATATAAATGTTTAGCTCTTTTACAATGCCTTTTACATTATCAGAACTCAAAACGTTCCACAAAGAAACTCATTACCATCATCCCCATTGTGCCGATTTGTAAAGCTATGGAGTGGTGAAGGCAAAATGATTTGCTCAGAGTCATCAATCAGGCTAATTGCAGAGCCCATAACACAACCCAGCTCTTTCCCAACCCACGCCAGTCCTCCACTTACCACGCTCATATTGCCCCAATTACTGACAGCAATATACAAGTCTTTTTGTCACAAGAACTTGGTCAAAAAGCACATATTAATGAAGTGTGTGCTACGAAGAGATGTATCTACTACACCCAGCCACAAAGCCACTGAAGTAGGTATCAATGGACTGTAGTTACTGAAACCTTCAAGTCTGGGAAATAAGGATCTCCTTACAACATTCATTAAATTAACAAGCATGACTTAAAGTCCCATATCGCACGTGATATTTCACAACAGAGCCATTCCTCATGGATACTATGCCTGCAAAGTAACTGTCATTGAATGAACTGCACATGAACAGCGCTGGGATTTGATTCTGTGTTACCACACATGGTAGTGAAGTGGGGAGAGAAACGCAGTGGAATAAAACCAGAACTGGCTTTCTCATTGCTGCTCCACCTGATTCATGTCAGCATTAGTCTGTGGCTCCTATTAGCTAAATTGGAGAGTTCACATAGCACAAACAGCATCTTAATTCACCCACAGACTGGGGAGACTTCTACCCAGATATTGGTTAAGAGTGTCTATTCGAAGTGAAAAATGTCAAACTTCTGCCCTTGGGACCTGTTTAAAACAACTGGTTTAGACAAAAAATAAATATAACATTATAGGAAGTAACTTAAGCGGCTGAACACCCACTGATGTACAATACTGAGATTTCACTCCCTTTCACATCCACTTCTGAAGATTGCAAATTTCTGCTATAACCTCATGAAATCAAAGCAGAGGCAAGCTTTGATTATTCAAGAGTTATTTCTCAAGTTCTTTCTCAAAACCATTCATAAAATCATAGAACGGTTAGGGGTGGAATATTTAAGATGAACAAATCTCCTTGCAGAAACACGGATTTTGTCACTGGGGAAGCTGCTAACCACAAAAAGGTTCAATTCTTAGAAAAGGCTGTTAACAAAGGAACAGCTCGGGCAGCTACAAAATCAATCAATCCCTGCTGCTTTCCGATGTGCTGAGATGACACGTGTGAGGGCAAAACAGTAGTGTTCAGATCCTGATTTTTGGCGTGATTTCCAGCGATACCCACAGGTGATGGGCAGGAACTGAGCTCGCAGCAGAGTGTGCCTCTGCGAGTGTGCTGCAGTCTGTGGGAGTGTTTGTGTATGCCTGTGTGTACATGTAAGCAAATGGAAAACAGGAAAAGTTCACATTTGTTTATGTACAGGGCGGGAAGTTGGCAGAACATAATGGAAGAAGACATAGTACTAAATAAAGCACGGGAGAGCATATGGTGTTTATGAATTATTAGGTGACTGGAGATGAATGTGTATGTGGGTGAATAAGACAGAAAACTGGAAATGAAAGTTATTAGGTGGGGAGAACTCTGGTCCGTTTAATTGTATGGGTTGTGAAGGAAAAACTTCATATGGGGAGAGGACCCTGTGGACACCGAGGGGTGACTGCTGGCTGTGCAGCTCTGGGCTTTGGGCTAATCCTGTCACCTGCCATATGCTGGGGAGGCGAGATTTCCAACTGCAGCCTGCTGCTCAGAAATGGAAATGGGTATGTCATGACAGGCAAAAGATACTGACAGTTTAGACACACAAGGAAAAGGCAATTTCTTCTCCAAAAAAGAAGGTGAACACAATATCTGACTCCTTACACATACATTTAGGTATTTGTACAGCTTGGCTTCCCTTACTTCTACACAGTCTGTGTATGAAATAGCTGTTAAGTTATTTATGCTCACAATACCCCATGAGCTATGAATGGAATATCCTTGTCTTGGGTAAAATAGAGAGAAAGGGAAGACAAATGCCTGGAGACATACAGTCCCTGTAAAGCAATGGCAGGACTGTGAGCCAGATCTCCAGTCCACAGGGCCAATTCTCCCCATCCTCATCCCGGTTCCCCTTTCAGACAGCCCAGTCGGAGCTACCTGGAGCTTCACAATGTTCCCCATGCTGGGGATGGCAGAGAAGCCCCAGGCTGTCACCCCCAGGACAGCACCATCCACGCCCGGAGGAGATGGGACATGTGCCCTTCACATAGCTGGAGATGGGCCTGGACTGGAGCACCAGAAAACCACCTTAGACACTAAAAACTCAAGCCACCACGTTACCAGCTCACCCTGGCCTGATGCAACTAGTGGCAAAAAGCTGACTGAGCTGGATGTTGCGTTTCACATCCCAACAACTGGAACCTGAGATACTTCTATCCTCCTGAACTGTTAAACATATCATATCGGCAGACACAGAAAGCTTTAGCATTCCTTCACAGTACCCACATTTCGGAAAAATATAGCTGCTAAAGGGATGATACATGCAATACTTCGGGCAGTAATCCAGTACCATAGTGAGGGAGGGAGGAAGGAATGCAGGAATGAAGGGGTGGAAAAAAAACACAAAAGAATTTATTCTTTCCTATACAGTTATAGGGCACCGAGGTAGATATTACAGACTGTATCTGGAGATGTCAGCAAGTCCGGCTGTGCTCTAAGTGATGATAAAAGTGGGATTTTGGACCATTTATTTTCTTTCCTGCCTTTTCTTGGAGCTGAGGACACACTAACAGCAATAACCTGTTCTTTCCCCTCTGCTGTCAGGCAGGTCGGATGCACTGCGGCTTCACACGATGCTTCTTAAGGAAGTGAGAGAGAAGAACATCTTTAACATTAAGGATGTGAACAAACACTCTTTTAAATTTATATCTATGGTCTTTTAAGGACCTTTCTGAGAACTGAGTAAGCTGCATTGATGGCAGCAGCTTCCGCCGTGGGGCAGCAGTCTTATTAAAAAGCAATGACTCAAGTCCTCTGTGTAGAGGGGGAATTAGGATGTGCCATGTGAAACACCAAGGGGGCAACTTCCCTGCCTGCTGCAGGAAGTGGCAGATCCAGGGTCAGATATACAAAACTCTCTAATTCTTTTCCTGGTTTTCCTGGGGAAGCTGAGTTCATCTTGCAGAGTCCCCTGGGCAAGGGATCTCTGCTTTCAGTTTGGGTGTTCCTGTAAAACTTATGGGAAGAATTATACCTCTGGGAAGTTGTTTTCTATTCAGACCGAGGTGGGTTTAAAGGATCATTGAGTTTACAGAAGCAACACACATGCCCTCGAGTGCCAGCAGACCTGCAACCACATCTGCTCTGTGCTCACTACAGAGCTTCAGCATCTGAGGACACAGCACAGTTGAGATGCAGTGGAAGCACCAAGGGAAAGCAAACATCCCATGCCTCTCTCCCTACTACAATAGCAGATATATGTTTTTCTTACTACAGGTAGCAGTGAGGGGTTTTATACAGCAAAGACTTGTTTCCAACAAAATTGAAAATATCCTTAAGGCTGATCCCAGTTTCTGCCCCAGGAAAACATGAACAGTCAGAAAGCAATCCTGTTATTTAAGGAGAAGATGACATGATCTTAGGCATCGCCTATTAAACTATGGCTGTCACAGGCAGCATGATGTTAAAATAAGCAAATTCCACACCTCAGTGTCCTCATGAAGAAACCATCTTTCTTTGATCTTAAATAGTCACCAAACTCTTGAGCCAAAAGATGTTTCCTGGACAGCTCTCCGCAGCCCAGAATAAGCCCGATCTGCCAGCAATGTCCTCGCTTCCCTCTAACACTGTCACCTTTGCTCTTCTTCTCCAGCAAGGAAACCACGTGGAGCAAAACAGGAAATCTGCTGGCAGCATAAACCCCACATCTTCACTTGTTGCAATGCTTTGGATCAGCTGCTCAGGATGATCTGAATACAACCACACACTGAAGGTCTCATCATCTCTTGTCCCCTCCTGTGCAGCCTGGAGCTGTCCAGTCCATCCTCATGTGCTGCTCACAGTGACCAAAACACCCAACACCATTTGCAGAGGTCCTGAACTACCCCAGATATTCACTAAGTCAGTGAAACAGACGTGTTTAGAGACTCCCAGTCCTGGGCACCAAAGTGGCTCTCAATGCTTCCACATCAGAGAATCTAACTCTGTTACTTAGGGACTGGGTCATTCAACTGCACTGGGGTTTACCTCTCAGCAATGCCACCATGGTGTTTGCAGGCTCACCCATCCT